CTCTCTGCCCCCTCACTCACTCTCTGCCCCTTCACTCACACTCCCTCCCCGCTCACACACTCTCTGCCCCCTCACACACTGTCCCTCTCACTCACACTCCCAACCCCTCACACACTCTGTCCCCTTATTCACACTCCCCCTCACTCATTCCCCTCTCCCCTCGTTCACAGAGCTCCTCCCCTAACACACACACACCCCTCCACAATCCCCTACCCTCTCCCGCACCCCCAACCCCCACATTGCAGGCAGCAACCCCCGCCCACCATCCGGGTTCTCACCGTCTCTCGGGCCATTTCCACAGCTTCTTGTAATCCATAGAGGCTCCCGGAGACCAGATAGACCTCACTGGCCCAGAGCACACAGGCGCCATGGACCCACAGTTCATTGGGGTCGAGAGGTAGTTGAGGCAGCTGAAGGTCCACCTGGGAACTGAGCTCACTTTTCAATCTCGGAGTCCGAAGGGAGACTGACGATAGGGTTTTCTCACAGCAGTAACAGCGTCGGTGACCCTTGCTGCTACGGGGACCCGCCCAGGATGGGGTACAATCCTCGGAATAGTGGCGCCTTTTCAACCGTGTGTGTCCTGGGACAGTGCCCAGCTCTTTTCCCTCATCTTCTGAGTGACCAGTCTTTAGGAGTTCGGGCATGCTTTTGTGCCTCACCTTGACTCGGCTGGGTGCTGTCAGCAGCTTCTTGGGGGGTGGGTTCTTGGGCAAGGTGCTGGCGTAAAGGTAGGGGTAGTAGGGCCCAAAGAGGTCACCCAGGTCACGGTGGTTAGCACATTTACCACACAAGCAGCAGAGCAGCAGGCCAAGGGTGGAGCTCTCAGTCACCAATGGGCCCAGGACCACGTGAGAGGAGGTGGGCAGGACTTTGCCAGCAGAGCTGGGGGTGGGAGCGGACACTGGTCCCTGGTGACCCTGGGGCCCTCTCTGGGCCCGGTTCCGTTCGTCGTCTTGGGTGTTGATGATGGTGCAAAGCAGCACTGCCTCCCGCCTCCGCTCCAGGAGTACGTACGGCGAGAAGATCCGATCCTGGGCCTCACCCCTCCTCCTGCGGGTGGCACGGACCCCCACGTGACTTAGTTTGATCTCAGGCTCCTCGAGTAAGGCCACAGGGGCCTCTGGCTTCTTCCTCCTGCGCCGTGGGTGTGGCGGTGCCTTCTTCCTCCTGGGCCTCCTCTTTTTCAGGGCGCCCTCCTCTGCCCCCTCGCCCGGGTTTTGCAAGCCTCGGCACGGCTGCAGCTGCCGTTTGGTCTTGTTGATGCTCCCCAGGGGCCGGCCCCTCTTCTTGCCCGACGGGAAGTATCCCTTGGCGGGGATGCTGTCCGGTTTGGGGGCGCCGCTGGCGAGACCCTGGCCCAGCTCGAGCTGTGGGGAGCGGGCCAAAGAGGCCGGGGGGTTCCGCTGCTTGAACTCGGGCTGGTATGGGAGGCGGGGTCCTGGAGGGGTGCCCCCGTAGGCCTGAGGACAGTTGGGAACACCTGTGCCCCCAGCCTGGGCCTCGGGCTCCCTAGTGACGTCTCCTTGCACTTTGACCCCGGGGCGCACCATTGGCACGTTCTCGCTCTCCCAGCATCCCTCGCGGACCGAGAGGATATCTTCCAGCGTTACCCCATCGGACGCCCCATCCAGTATTCCAGCCACGGGGAACTTCCTCCCATTGGGGGATGCGATCTTTTGGACAATGGCCTCCAGCTTCAAGCCCCGGCCTTTCCTAGGCGGTAGAGTTTTGAGTTTGCCGGGACTGGTGAGGGAGACCACTGGAGAAATGCTGGCTCCGGGGCTGTCCTTGTCGCTGTTGGTCAGTGGAGCTTCATTACCCGGCTCGGCCTTGTGCATTGGGTTTCCGCCGGCAATGCCCTGAGGAGGAGGAGCTAATCTACCATCCAGCTCCCTGGCTCGGGAGTCTTGGCAAAGCCTTTTCGCTGGAATGGGTGATATGAACGATCGAATCCTTCTCCTTGACAAGATGGATGACTGAATGGACAGCTCCGCCTGAGCTGGAGACTCGTTTGGCCTTCGACCGGGCTGCGATAAGTTGTCCACCTCTGCTGGCCGTTCACCCAGCTTCGTGCTATCCCCTTCGCGGTGCTGGAGCGCGGTGTGGCTGCTCGATTGCTGCTCCGGGGCGTAAGGAGCTCGTGGATCTTTCGGGACACCGGTCCAGCTATCTTCCATTGGGAAAGCCTTGCCATCGGGAGCGTCCGCCCAGTCTCTCACCCCATTGGAGCTAGGTGCCTGCCTGGGAGACCTCAGGCTGGTCAATGCCTCGGGACCGGACGAGCGAGGGCCATCTTGTTTGGTCAGCAGAGAGGACAGGGTCTCGGAGTGTGAGGGGGGAGGGTGTGAGGCGCTGGTGCAAGGCAGGACGGGCAGGTCCTCCCCCGCACGGCCCAGGAATCCAGGCAACCGGGACCCCAGCACCTCCTCCTGTTTAATCAGAGGTGCCCTGGCTAAGAGAGCTTTGTCGTCTGCCCGAGTCGGGGCTCTCCTCCTTACCCCAGCTCTGCCTCCTGCCCGACCACTGGGCCTTCTGCCCCTCGAGGGTCGACTGTTGAGGGCCTGCTGGAGCAGGCTGCTGGAGGATCCCATGGACAATGGCATCGAGACCAGTGCTGAAGACCGGGCCAGCTCAAAGGAGTCGTATTTCCAGTGGGGCGAAGGGGTCCCGGGCTCTCTGCTGTCATACTGTCCAATGCTCCTCAGTTGACCCTGATGCTGCTCCATCATCCCCTTGGCTTTCCCGTCTGCTCCAACATACATGCCCGCCTGGATAACCGTCTGCCCGGCCTTGCAGGCCCGAGCTCCCTTCATGCTGCGACTCAGCTCCCGGTCCTGCCCTTGACCACAGGCCGGGGGTAAAGGCCCATGACCGAAGGACCTCGAAGGGGAGACGTCACAAATGACCGACTTCCTCTCTGACGCCCCGGGCTCGTACAAAGGTTCGAGGTCGGCCTTGTTCAGCTCTGGGCCGAAGCCAGGGCCTGGGGTCCTTGCATCCCCCCAGCCCGGGGGAGAGGCCAGGCTGTTGTTATGTCCCCCTTTTCTGGTCAACTCGATCATCTGCCTGACGGGCTGTAGTGGGTTCTCCAGGAAGCTGGAGTGAGGATCCTCTGGAGCGTAACTCGAATGGAACTTCCTCCCGTGATAGTTGGCCTGTAAAGCCTCTTGGAGCAAACTGTGGCTCTTGTCAGGTTTTCCAGGAGGCACCTTGCCGTCTCCCAGACCAAACTGCTCAGGCCCTGGTTGGCTGTATGTGGCTGCTGGGTACTGCATGTAGTGGTATCGGCCATCACCCTTGGGCACATCGGGACGCCCATATGCCAAGTAGCCAGGGGGCTTGGAGGTGTCCATTCTTGGGGCCAGGGGGTCACTGAGCACCATCTGGCCCTGGTGGACCACCAACCCATTTGGGGTGGTCGAAGGCGCCATGACGTTGCGGGTGTTGCTGAGTTGCTGATGGAGGCCAGGTTCCTTCTCGCTACCAGTGAGAAACGTATTGTGCTGCGGGTGCTCCTCCCCCTGACCCCCAAGGGTCATGGCATTGCCCCGACCGACCATTGTCTCCCGGGCAACGATGACCCCGACAGGTTTCTCGCTGCGGGACAGGCCTTGCTCAATCAGTGGTGCCGCAGTGCTGCCTTTACCGTCCTGGCACATCTGGGCGATGACTTCTTCCTTGGAGAGGTGCCGACTGGCACTGTCACCGATGGAACTGGCCGGCGAGCAGGTGGCGGTGGCTGCGGGCTCTGGGTTGTGGGCCTTGTAGGCTCTCTCCGAGGAGCCACTCTGGCCACTGAGCTGACGGACTCGCTCCGCGTGGTCCTCGGACGAGCTTGAGCAAGCCCCGTCCAGCGACTCGGCCTGTGGTGATTTCAGTGGTTCCTCGAGACCCTGGTGATCGGCCGGGCCTGGTCTCTTGTTGGGCCGTCGGCCCTGACGTCGGTGTAAGGCCAGGGTGTCCGAGATCAGCAGGTGCTGCACCCTGTTGGGGATGTTCGCCACCTGAGAGCTCAGGGCCGTCAAACTGCTCTGGCCCAGGTCCGAGGGCCTTTTCTCGGTCCCACTCTCCAACCCAAAGCCTTCGTAGGCCGCAGGCTGCGATCCTGGACTCGGCATCAGGCCCGCCGGGGTGGGACTGGGCTGGGGCATGAGCGGCAACGCTCGGCTCCTCATGCCCATGGCTCCCGGCCCACACTGCAAACTCTCACTGCTCACCACCAGAGGAGACGGGGTGGAGCTACATGACGGGGACTGGGCCACTGGGGTGGCCGGTGAGGGGTTGGAACTCGGGCTGAAGTTCTGGTGGAAGGGCATGGGCGATTTGGCGGGAATGTCGGCTGAACAATAGGGGGCAAACTGCTGGTTCCCCAGGGGCACTTTGGCCGCACTGGGGTATTGCAGGGCCTGAGGCCCAGGCTGCTGACCCTGACCCGCCTTTGATTGTTCGAAACAAGCCTTGCCCATCGGTGCCTGGTAGCTGTAACCCGCTTGGGTCCCATAGCTCGGGGCAGTCGTGGCATTAACCATGTAACCATCACACTGGGCACCGGCGTTGACGTGGTAACTATCAAAAGCCTGCCCTGAAGGGTGGCTGTAACCTTGAGGCGACAGGTAGGAGGAAGAGGAGGAGGAGGAGGATGATGAGGAGGACGACACAGTGGTCTGGAACTGCTGGGGGTTATACTGAGCTGCCCGTTGCTGATACTTTGCTAGCAGGGCCGGGCTGGGCTGGTGGGAATGCTGGGGGTGGTGGGCAGACGAGGGAGAGGGTTGGACCACTGCCTGGGAGCCAAGGGGTGCCTGGAAAGGCTGGTGTCGGAGCTGCTGCTGCTGTGTGCTGCTGGGCGAAAACTGACCACCGTAGGCCTCCTGGTCAAACTGGCCATAGCCTGGCATGGGGGCAGAGTGAGGTGCCCTCCACTGACCCTCGCTCAGGTACTGCACTGAGTAGCCTCCAGCCTGCTGTGCCCCATATCCGCTCTGCAAAGGCCTGCGCTGGGCCTGGGGCCCGGGTAGGTCTTTAGCCCTGGGGTAGTAGTAATCGGCAGGCTCCCTGCGGAACCCTGGGTACAGCTGCTGGTCACAGCCCTCGCCGCCTGGCCGGTTGGCATAGCCGCCAAAGATGGGGGCCTGATGGTGCTGGTTGTAGCTGTCCAATCGAGAAGACTCCTGAGACTCTTGGTGCAGGAGCCTCTGGTTTCCATGGTAACTACTCTGCTCCCGGTACGACTGCATGTCGTGGCGTTCCACAGTCCAGTCCCCGGCAGGATCTCTGGAAATTCCGAAAGGGAAAGAAACATTAATAATTCCCAGAGACATGGTACCAATAATCACTTCCTGGGTCAGCCTCATAGCCAGGGGCCCAGCAATATCCTCCCCCCATCCCCCACTTCTACATAATTATTCCGTTGCCTTCCAGAAATTACGACGGAATCTGCCTCCATCATCCTCTCAGGATATATGTTCTGGAATGTAACAATAAGACAGCACAGCACAGCAGGAGGCCATTTAACCCATCAAGTCCATGTTAGTTCTCAGCAGGGCAATTCACTCGGCTCCATTCCCCTGCATTAACATTGTAGCTCCTGAAAGATTACTTCCTTTAAAGGCCCATCCCATTTCCTTTTGAAATCACTGATTATCTCCATGTCTACTGGCCTTTGTAGGCAGTGAGTTCTTGATCATTACTACCCACTGTGTAAAACTGTTCATCTTCGCACAGCCACCCCCAACTTTTGCCAATCCTCTCTTACACAGCACCTTAAATATCTGTGAATCCCCAGGCCCATGCCCGAGCCTAGAAAGAAAAGGAACACCTTTTCATTGCTTACTGCATCCTGTCTCAGGTATTGCTCAGAAAGGGACACATTCTGCCAAGGCTTTCTGCCCTGCACCAATCAGGACAATTCACAAGAAATACCAAAAGAAAGTAACATTTATACTGTGTGAGAGGAGAATGCTGATTGGTGGACAGTGCACTTTAATTGCTAGCCATATTCTCACGGAGAATACACTAGTTAATGATGACTGATAGTTAACTGCCAAGCTTTCTTTAAATGTTAAAATGGCTATTAATTAAATTTATGCACCTCAATCAAATCTCTCCCAATCTCCTTTGCTTCAATGACAACCACAGCTTCTCCAGCTTACCGTTGGAGCTAAAATCTCCGATTACTTAAACCATTCTGGTAAATCTCTTCTGCATTCCCCGGAGAACGCTCAGCCTTACTAAAGTGTGTTGACCTGTAATGTTCCCCATCCCTCTGTCAAGGCACAAAACTGGCCAGCAGTCACCATTGATCACACTCCCAAAGGAGAAATGGGGGAGAGGGAGAGGGAGAGTCACAAGTAACGACAAAATCAGCCATTCCTGTTCACTGGTAAAGTGGTGTGAGTGGCAGACAATTATTTTAAGAAGAACAGATTGTACAGGGCCCTCGGTGAGAACACAGCTGGAGTCCAATGGACTGTTTCAGTCTCATTTGACGGAGGATGCAATTGAGTTAGAATCTGTTCAGAGAAGGTTAACTTGGCTCATTCCTGGGATGAAGGTATTGTCTTATGAGGAGGAAAGGATGGACAGATTGTGACTGTATGTTCGCTTTTAGGGGGACGAGAGGTGACATTATTGAAGCATGCAAATTCCTGATCGAATACTGTGGATATTGGGAGGACTATTTTTATTTGTTCATGGAAGATGGATGTCACTGGCTCGGCCACAATTCATTGGCCAAGCCTAGTTACCCTTGACATGCTGGTAGTGAGCTACAGTCCATGTGTTGTAGGTTCACACACAATGTTGTTAGGGAGGGAATTCCAGGATTTTGACCCAGTGACAGTGAAGAAATGGTGATAGATTTCCAAATCAAAATGGTGACGAGAGGAGATTAAAACAAAAGGACACAATTAAAGAACAAAACAGTTTCCCTTTTAAGACATAGATGAGGTGAGATGATTTCTCCCAGAGAGTCATTAAATTATGAAATTACATTCTCTGAGGGCAGTGGAATGTGTGTCATTGAATTTATTCAAGGCTGAATTATGAGCTTATCCATGATCATGGTGAAGCATGACTGAGGGGCTGAATGGTATATTTTTAAGTCCCACATCATCAAAATTACACTGCAGGGATGATTGTATTTGGAGAGGATTGTAGATTCTGTGATGCTCCTGCTAGGATCCACAGCATCAATCTAATCAACAGAAACATTCAAGGTGCTCAGTCACTCGATCAGCCATGACTGCCTCCAGTTCCCAACAGGTAACAGAAACACCGCGGTTTCCCTCTCTCATTCCTCTTGATCAGCAGAATAACAAGCACAATTCTCCAATCTAAGCAAACACTTCCAGAATCAACACGTCTTTGCCTGATGACAAATGTCATGTTAGTATTCGGGGGGAGTTTACCCCCCCACCTTGGAATGCATGCACAAGCAACTTGACTCCAAAAAGGCTTGACCCTGATGAACCAGGGGCTGCTACTAGCCTCACAGTGCCTGAGGGAGATGACGGTATCGACACTGGACTAGTAAGGCAGTCGTTCAGAGAATGGTCCAGGGATCCAGGTTCGATTCCCATCACAGCAGATGGTGAAAATTGAATTCAATAAAAATCTGGAATGGAAGTCTAATGATGACCATGGACCCACTGTGAATTATTCTAAAAACCCACCTGGCTCACTAACATCCTTGAGGGAAGGAAGCTGCCATTTTCACCTGGTCTGCCCTACATGTGACTTCAGCAATGTGCCTTTGAAATGGCCTAACAAGACAGTCAGGTGTTAACAACCGTGGGAATGGAAAACAGAAATGAAACCAGATGGAACACCTTGGCACTGGGATTCACAACAGCAGAGACAGACCTGTTGACACTGCAAAGTCCTCGCTAACATCTGGGGGGGTTAGTGCCAAAATTGGGAGAGCTGTCTCACAGACTAGTCAAGCAACAGCCTGACATAGTCATACTCACAGTATCACACCTTACCATGTCCCAAACTCACCATCACCATCCCTGGACATGTCCTGTTCCACTGACACGACAGACCCAGCAGAGGTGGCAGCACAGTGGTGTATGGTCAGGAGGGAGTTGCCCTGAGAGTCCTCAACATTAATTCTGGACCCATGAGTCTCATAGCTTCAGGTTAAACATGGGCAAAGAAATCTCCTGCTGATTACCACAAATTAGCCCTTCCCTCCTCTCCTGGCCCTGAAGACCTCAGCTAATGAATCAATGTTCCTCCATGTTGAACAACTCTTTGAGGAAGCACTGAGAATGGCAAGGACACAGAATGTACTCTGGGTGGGGAGGTGGATTTCAATGTCTACCACCAGGAGTGACTCAGCAGCAGAGTCCTAAAGGACATAGCTACTAGACTGGGTCTGTGCCAGGCAGTGAGGGAACCAAGAGGGAAAAACATACTTGACTTCATTCTCATCAATCTGCCAGGTGCAGATGCATCTATCCATGACAGTATCGGTAAGAGTGACCATCGCACAGTCCTTGTGGAGATGAAGTCCCACCTTCACATTGAGAACAACCTCCATCGTGTTGTGTGGCATTATCACCGTGCTAAATGGGACAGACTTCACACAGATCTAGCAACTCAAGACTGGGCATCCATGAGGCACTGTGGGCCATCAACAGCAGCAGAATTGTACTCCAGTACAATCTGTAACCTCATGACCCAGCATATCCCCCACTCAACCATTACCATCAAGGCAGGGGATCAACCCTGGTTCAATGGAGAGTGCAGGAGGGCATGCCAGGGGCAGCACCAGGCATACCTGAAGGTGAGGTATCAACCTGGTGAAGCCACCAAACAGGACTACTTGCATGCCAAACAGCGAAAGCAGCAAGTGATAGACAGAGCTAAGCGATCCCACAACCAACAGATCAGACCTAAGCTCTGCAGACCTGCCACGTCCAGTTGTGAATGGTGGTGGACAATTAAGCAACTCACTGGAGGAGGAGGCTCCGCAAATATCCCCATCCTCAATGATTGAAGAGCCCAGCACATCAGTGCAAAAGATGAGGCTGAAGCTTTCGCAGCAATCTTCAGCCAGAAGTGCCAAGTGGATGATCCATCTCGGCCTCCCTTAGAGACCCCAACCTGCTTCATCAATGACCTTCTCTCTATCATAAGGTCAGAAGTGGGGATGTTTGTCGATGAGTGCACAATGTTCTGTTCCATTCCTGACTCCTCAGATACCGAAGCAGTCTATGTCCAAATGTAGCAAGACCTAGACAATACCTACGGTTAGACTGACAAGTGTCAAATCACATTTGTGCAACACAAGTGTCAGGTAATGACCATCTCTGATAAGATTGAGACTGACAATCTCCCCTTGACATAACCGTTACTGAATCCCCCAATACCAACATTCTAGGGGTTACCATTAACCAGAAACTGAACTAGACTCGCCAGATAAACACAGTGGCTACAGGAGCAGGTCAGAAGCGAGGAATACTGCAGCAAGTAACTCACCTCCTGACCCCTCAAACCCTGTCCACCATCTACAAGGCACAAGTCCGGAGTGCGATGGGATACTGTCCATTTGCCTGGATGAGTGCAGCCCCATCAACATTCAAGAAGCTTAACACCATCCAGGACAAAGCAGCCCCCTGATTGGCACTGCACCCACAAACATCCACTCCCTCTACTGCCGAAGCTCAGTAGCAGCAATGTGCGCTATCTACAAGATGCACTGCAGAAATTCAAAGATACGTAGTCAGCACCTTTCAAACCCACAACCACTTCCATCTAGAAGGACACGGGCAGCAGATACAGGGAAACACAACCTCCTGCAAGTTCTCCTCCAAGCCACTCATCATCCTGACTTGGAAATATATCACCGTTCCTTAAGTGTCACTAGGTCAAAATTTCAGGAATACTCTTAAGAGTCAATGAATCATACAGCATTGATACAGGTCCTTCGGCCCACTCTGTTGATGCCGACTACACTACTCTCATTTACCTGCAGTTGTTCCATAGACTACTATAACCTGGCATTTTAAGTGCTTGTTTCTTAAATGTTACAGGAGTACCTGCCTCCACTACCCTCTCAGGCACTGTGTTCCATATACCTACCACCCTCTGGGTGAAAGAATTCTCTCAGATCTCCTCTAAACCACTTACTCCTCACCTTAAACTTATACTGTCTGTTCTAAGACAAGTCTGTCATGGAAGAGATTCTCACAATCTACCCTGTCTGTACCTCTCATAATTTTATATATACCTTAAACAAATTCCCCCTCCATCTGTTGACCTGCTGT